ATATATATATATATATATATATATATAATTTAGTAGCCCATATATAATGTGACGACCCGGCCAGTCGTCTCATGTGTTACAGCTCCGTTTTCCCCATTTCTGCTTCTTTATGTTTTGTTTATCCGTGTTATGAGGTATCGATTGGGTCGGATCAAATCCAGAATGATTTTGGTAAGGTTCGAGACCCTCGGCCTCTCTCAGTCATTAACCTCACAATCAGACCCTTGGTCTATCTCAGTCATCAATCTCACAATCAGACCCTCGGTCTATCTCAGTCAACAACCCCACAATCAGACCCTCGGTCTATCCTAGTAATCAACCTCACAATCACTCGGACCATTAGTAAAACAGGGAACTCAACCCAAATAGTTTTCACATTTTTAAGAAGTAAAAGGATAAAACCAGATTAAACAATAAACAGGTAAAACATTACTGAGGATATGCTTTCAAAACAAATAAAGTGAGGAAGAATAGTAAAAATGCCCCTAAGGGTCTCAACAGGTCGGCACAAAGCCTCAAACATGGCATACAACCCAAAATATAATATCAATCTCTAAAATATGGAATATCATAAGATTTCAAATCAAATATGCGACTTAACAGTTGTATGGGACGGTCAAAGTCACAATCCCCAACGGTGCACGACTCCACGCTCGTCATCTAGCGTGTGCGTCACCTCAAAGTAGCACAACGATGTGAAATTTAGGGTTTCCAACCCTCAGGACAATATTTATAATCATTACTTACCTCGATCTGGTACAAACTCTAGCTCGTGATGCCTTTTCCCTCACGAATCGACCTCCGGATGCTCCAAATCTAGCCACAATCAGTACATAACTATTAAAATATGCTAAGGGAACAAAGCCCACTCGAAAATATTCAATTTACATAAAAAATTCCGAAATTGCTCAAATCTGACCCTCCGGCCCACGTCTCGGAATCCGATAAAAGTCACATCAATATAATCCTCAATCTCTCACGAGTCTATACATACCAAGAACATCAAAATCGGACCTCAATTGCCCATTCAAATTCCTAATTTACACTCTCCTAATCCAAGCCCTAATTCCCCAATTTTTAGGCTTTAATTTCCATATTTTTCATGATTAAACAAGTAAGAATCAACATAGGATCGAGTATTGAGTTCAAAAATCTTACCTCCAAGTGTTATCTCCTGAATCCCTCTTCAAATCCTCTCAAAAAGTTCCAAAATCGCCCAAAAATGGTGAAAGTTAGCCCCAAAATCACGGACAATGGCTATTTAAACATTCTGCCCAGGCATCAAAAACCTTCTTCGCGAACGCAGTCAACTCCTCACGTTCGCGAAGCAAAAAATAACTTTGACCCAAAATTACTCTTTCTGATCGTGATCAGCCACTCGCGAACGCGATGGCTCCTCAGCTTGATCCTTCGCAAACGTGTTACCTCTCTCGCGAACGTGATGAATAAAACACCTCAAGCTCACCTGACCAATTTCCTCTACGCGAACGCGGAGCTTCACCCGTGAACGCGATGCCCAAAAAATCAACCCTTCTCGAACGTGGAGCCTTCCTCGCGAACGCGAACGCTAAAATTCCAGCCTTCACCAGCTAACCCTTCACGAACGTGAGGGCCTACTCGCGAACGCGAAGGCCATATCTCTGCAACACTAATCAACAATTTTCTACAATTCCAAACAACATGCAATTGTCCGATTGACCACCCGAAACTCACCCGAGGCCCTCGGGACCTCAACCAAACATGCCAACATATCCCATAATCTCATTCCAACTTGTTCCAAACTTCGCTTCGCTCAAAGCAACATCAAAACACCAAAATCACATCGGATTCAAGCTTAGGAATTTCAAGAACTTCCAAATTACGCTTTCGATCAAAAACCCAACCAAACCACGTCCGAATGACCTGAAATTTTGCACACACGTCACAAATGACACAACGGAGCTATTACAACTTTCGGAATTGCATTCCGATCTCTACATGAAAATCTCATCTATCAACCGGAAAATGCCAAAATCTCAATTTCGTCAATTCAAGCCTAAACTTTCCACGGACTTCCAAAATGCATTTTGAGCACGCTCCTAAGTCTCAAATCACCTAACAGATCTAACCAAGTCATAAAAATTACGATGCGAGATCATATACAAACAAGTCAAATCTTGGTCAAACCTTTCAAATTTAAAGTTTCAAACTGAGAATTGTTATTCCAAATTCATTCCGATTACCCTGAAAACCAAAACCAACGATTTACATAAGTCATAATACATCACATGGAGCAAGTCATGCCCGAGAACTGGCGGGCAAAGTGCAAAAGCTCAAAACGACCGGTCGGGTCGTTACAATATGTGTATAGTAGCTAACATATAATTTCATTCATTAAGGTCATGTGTATATTGCTAGCGGCCATGTAATTACATTTACTATGGTTCCACTAGTCAATTGACACCAATCGTTATATTTTGAGATATAATTAGCAATTTAATTATGAAATATAAATAATAAGTAGATATTGATGCTAGTTAATTACATTGTTGCGCTTTTTATATAGTTACATTTAACGTTTATATATATGTGTATAGTAGCCAACATATAATTTCATTCATTAAGGTCATGTGTATATTGATAACGACCATATAATTACATTTACTATGGTTCCACTAGTCAATTGACACCAATCATTATATTTTAGGATATAATTAGCAATTTAATTACGAAATATAAATAATAAGTAGATATGGATTCATATTTTCTTGCACCACCGAATTTTTTTGGTTTGAATCCATTTTTTAGATAGGGTAAAGTGTTCACTTGACTTGGTTTGATATGAAGGAAGTATAATAAATCGTATACCGTATTTGTTTTTAAGAAAGGAAGAAAATACAATAATTTGTATGCACAATTAATCGTATAATTTGTATAAACATAAAATATACATAAATATAATGGAAATACAAATATAATACACAAGAATCTTCATCTCCCAACATTTAATTTTCGCATACTTTGAAATTTGAAATTTAATTTTATGTTTCGGAGGGGGAAATATAAGCTAATTAGTTAGAGGGTCATTTATGTCTTTTCACTGGTGTGGCCAAAGTTGGGTCACACCAGTGTGGTCGTTTAACATCTCCCTGCAACCGAAATGAAAAATAAACCGTTGAATACCACTAAAGTCTTTGGAGAGTTTGCAGTATTTCAACGAGGACTAATTAACTACTGTACAACACTAACTTATACATGTACGAAACAACATTGCAACCGAAATGAGTGTGATAAAAAAAAGTAGTACTCCCTCCGTTCTAATTTATGTGAACCTGTTTGACTGGGCACGAAGTTTAAGAAAAAATGAAGACTTTTGAAATTTGTGGTCCTAAACAAAGCAAAAGGGCCCCAGAGTATTTGTGTAGTATAAAAGCTTCTCGTTAAGGGCAGAATTATAAGTTTAAACTAAATTGTTACCAAATTTAGAAAATGATCATTCTTTTTGGAACGAACCATAAAAGAAATAGGTTCACATAAACTGGAAGATAGAGAGTATTAGAGGGAGTATTAGAGATGGCCCGTATCTCATGGACAATTAATTAAACCCCCGTATATTCTTAGAAACTCCCTCATTTTCACTCCCTGCCTGTACTTATCCACTATTGATTTGAACATCACTTAAAAAATACTTACTCTATTTACTTTTACTTATCATATTTTGACTTTTCACCCCCTTAAAAAATAATAAATAAAAAACATAATTTAACATAATACTCATATTAATTGATGCATATTTTTAATAGTTTTAAAAATAATTTATAATGAGTAATTAATGCCGTGAGTATAACAGGAAAAAAGAAATTGTCTTCTCTTGATATGCTAAAAATGACAAGTAAAAGTGAAAATCTATTTTTAGAATACTGGACAAGTAAAATTAAACGGAGGGAATAATAAATAAACCGCATAATTTACCATGATACCCATATTAGTTGTTGTATAGTCTTAATAGATTTGGAATAAGTAATTAATGCTAAAGGCAAAATAGAAAAAATAAATTATTTTTCTCTTGGGAGAGTGAACAAGTAAAATTGAAATTTTATTTTTAAAATAATAAAAAAGTAAAATGAATGGAGAGAGTATTAGACAAACAAGATAATATCTCGACTTCCTATTAGTGCATGAAGTCAAATTAGCCAAGTTATATAAATTCAAAAAAACCTAACTATAACTCATACCCCCCTCTCTCTCTCACACACACACATATATCTGCTGCTCCTCCCTCTTCCTTGTTCAGTTGCCTAAATTAACTTTCAGGTGATCAACATGGAAAATCTTGTTTTCATCATCGGAGTTATAGGTATAACATTATCATGCATCTCAAATCACTCAATGAACATTGATATTATTGTTTTGTTGAATTAACATTTGGGATCGATGAAATGTTTAATTTCTCTGTTGAAATATATTTTTCCAATTTTTGCAGGCAACATCATTTCCATTCTGATGTTTCTTTCGCCAGTGTAAGTAATTAAAAAAAACAGAAATATAAATTTCAATATTAATTAGTCAAAGTTGTTAATATTCTTTCTAGGTTTATGGTTCCTGTTTTGATGATCTTCGGAAAATTTAATGTGCAGAGGAACATTCAGAAGAATTGTAAGGAACCAATCAACTGAGGATTTTGATAGCCTTCCATATATATGTACACTGCTTAATTCAGCTTTGTGGACTTACTATGGACTTATAAAGCCAGGGAGCTATCTTGTGTCCACTGTCAATGGCTTCGGAGTTATCGTTGAGATTATCTACGTCGCCTTGTTCCTTCTATTTGCTAATCCAAAAATGAGAGTGAGTCTAATTAAGAGACTTTATTTTTTCGATGCACAAGTTTATTTTTCTTAACCGGTTACATATATAGATAAGACACTAATTATACACGGTTATGTATATTATATATGAATTACACGTACATATATTATATACTCGCCAAATTTTAATTTATGTGCTTGGATGGATACCCAGACCCACAATATGGAATAATACTAGTTATGTTGTTGTAGTTGGATGGACGGATGTGTAGGTTAATTCTTATTTTTGGGTACAACATCAAGGAAAATAAATTATTGCATCGTGCATTTGAATTTTTTTTGAATGAATTTAAGTTATACGCACTAACAATATAAATATTATATTACCTGTCATTTAATTTTAATCCATGATAACTGTTTAGTATTTCAATTTTTTTAATCAAAATATTTTAATGTAATTACCTAATAAATGATTTGATTGTATAAATAAATATCAGTACATAGAACATTCTTACACTATTTGAGGATTTCATGAATATGAAATTACTATATTGAAATCGACTCTACACATAATTACTATGGCCAAACCAAAAAAAAAAAGGATTTTTTTTTGTGGCAGCAGAAAAATATTTGAAGTCTTTGTCAATGTGCTGTAATCATTACTGCGCTGTCAATATACCACACGTTTCTATTTCCAACTTGCATCTTTTGTCTGTTTGATTGCGACCATAAAGTAGACGTAGAACTTGACATGCATAATATTTTTTGTCGTAAATTAGTGTCCACTTACATATGATGATAGTATACTTATCGTGATCGAGTGGTAAAAATATGTACTCAATCTAGTTATTAACATCTCTCTCTACCACAGGTTAAATAACAGTAATAGCATAAGAAATTTTTATATATTGTAGTGTAAATGTATATTACTCAAATCCTATCCTTATTTATATATTGTAGCATAAGAATTATTTATCGGTTTTGATTTTCGAATGTGGGACTCTTTGAAATAGTCATACAAAAACTAATGCTATCTCATTTTTTTTATTATTATTTTACAGAAAAAGACTGCCATCCTAGCTGGGGTTCTGAACGTGGGCATTTTAGCAACAACCCTATTATATGCTCAGTTTCTTTTACATGGAGAGACGAGAATTAATGTTATTGGTTTCCTTTCCACATGTCTGAACATCGTCATGTATAGCTCCCCTCTTGGTGTTATGGTAAGGGCCCTTCCCCCAAAATAATTCTTCTAATTTCATGATAATTCAATACCACCATCTACTATGGTAGATCAGGGAATCCTTTATCCGAATTTAATTAGAGGTTTCGAATGCAAGACCATATGAATAAAAAAAAATTATGGAGTGCTTCCTCGTTAGCGAGTCCCCTACCAGTAGCTGACCCGGGATTTTGTGCAAGCGGGTTCAATCTTAAAAGTATATAACTTTAGTCGTAAAATAGTAGTTGACAAGTAGGTTCAAATAAATATTTATACAAAATTTACACAGTTTTAATCTTAATTTATACATATACATACAATATTATTTTTTTATGAAGCATGTTCAGTTGAATCCGCTAGTCAGTACTTGGGTCCGCCACTGTCTCCTACCCTGTACGAATATTGATTAGTTGAAAATTTTGGACCCTGGATTTATAAAGAAAAGAAAAGCTAAGTCATTTCATGTGGGCTACCTTTTAATTGAAGTCACTCGTACAATCTTTTTGGATGATTGATTTTGCAGAAAACAGTTGTGACAACCAAGAGTGTAGAGTACATGCCATTTCTTCTCTCGCTTTTCCTTTTCTTAAATGGTGGCGTTTGGACTTTCTACGCCGTGCTTGTGGCTGACTGGTTTCTTGGAGTAAGTTTTCTGTTATCTTAATTCCTCATCAATTATCTTTATTAGTTGAAAATCTGATGATATATTCTGCAAAATCCTCATTACATTTCCGCACGACAACAATTAATGTTAGCCTGTCAATAATTAAGTATTAGGAAAAAAGAACCAGAGAAATTTTTAAAATGAAGGTTCACACACTGTGGGATCGTGCGAGAAGTTTGATCAGTAATCAATAATATCTAATTAGATAGTTAGATGTAACAATGTCTTAATCCATTTGACATTAGACCACTTCTAATTAAGAATAAAGACTTTCTTACCTACAAGTTGGATTGAATATAATATTGAATATTTGTAAATTAAAAGTGGTAGTCTGGTTGACGGATGTATAATATATGTATAATTCACATATAATATATGTATAATCAATATATATCGGCTAAAAGAAGTAAACAGTGAATCTGACCCGCTATTTATATAATGACCCCTCTCATTTACACATGTGTACACGATAAGGTCTACACAACTTTTTTGAGGATATAATGCTATTTACTTACACACGGTTGTATTATTATTATTATGATTATCGCAAATTGGTACCATAAAATAGATAATTAATCAATCATCAACGCCTTAAGCCAAAATATTAATTACTTCAACTTTCTCCTTTAAATTTGCATCTTTAAATATACAATATAACCAATTTTCTTTCAACTCTTTGTTTTGTAACATATTGTAATACAGAGTCACTGTGTCATTAATGATACATGTCACAATTTTCTAAAAGACATCCAGAAAATGGCACTGAAAATGTCTTAAAAGATCAAAATCGGATTTGAAAAAAAAAAAGTGTATATCAGGTTCATTCTTTTCTTCTTTTTCACAGTCATAATTTATTTTAGCTACTCTTGTATATTAAAAAACACTACTCTTTGTATATGGTTCTTTTTCTTCTCTAACGGAGTCCATTACTCAAATGGTCACTCAACTATCCCAAATTATCTCCTAAAGTCACTTTACTTTCGTTTGTAACAACAAAGTCACTGAACTATGCCTATTGTACTCAGAAGGTCACTCAACTAGATTTTTCAAATTTTGGATTGTCAAATACCTATTTTACCCTCTAAATTATAAACATTTATCTTCTTTTTATTTTTTTAAACTTTTTAATATTATGATTTTCTCTTTTTAATTTATATTATGGACTTATCTATAGAATAAATAAATATTATTTATAAATTAAAAAAATAAAAAATATTTAAGCATGTATAATGCTGGAATAACAAAATAACGAGCTTAGTAAAAAAAAGTTAATTAGAATAATTTGTTAATGATAATAATTTTAGTATTAACAACAAAACTTCAAAAATTTATTTACACAATTTAGAATGAAAGAAAATAAAGGTTGTAAAATATATATTCCATGCACGTAATACCAAAATAATTATTTAAATAAAGATATTTTTATAATATACATTATATATTCTTGAAAATTATGCTCAATTATATTATTATGTTTCTATTAACTTTCCGACGACATAAAGTTATGTCACCGGAAAGTAGGGGGACTATCTGTATAGGGTAAAATATACTATGTTAAATCGTGCATAGAATATATATAATATAATTGTGCATAATTTTCAAGAATATATATGTATATTATAAAAATAGTTTTATTTAAATAATTATTTTTATATTACATGCATGGGATATATATTTTACAACCTTTATTTTCTTTCATTCTGAATTGTGTAAATAAATTTTTAAATTTTTGTTGTTAATACTAAAATTATTTACGAACAAATTATTCTAATTAATTTTACTATGCTCATTATTTTGTTATTCCAACATTATAGATTATAGATGCTTAAATACTTTTTATTTTTTTAATATATAAATAATATTTATTTATTCTATAGTCCATAATATAAATTAAAAAGAAAAAATCATAATATTAAAAAGTTAAAAAACCAAAAGAAGATTAATATTTATAATTTAGAGGGTAAAGTGGGTATTTGACAATTCAAAATTTGAAAAATCTAGTTGAGTGATCTTCTGAATGCAATAGGCATAGTTCAGTGACTTTATTGTTACAAACAAAAGAAAAATGACTTTAAAAGATAATTTGACAAAGTTGAGTGACCATATAATTAATTGACTCTTCTCTAACGATATTTTGTGAGTCTTCCTTTTTTTTTTTCTTATTTAAAGAAATCATTGAAATATTACCACAAAATATGTTCAAGACGCTACTTTTTCCCATGAAGTTTCTCGATAGAAGTGTATATGAATAACCTTTTTTTTTTCTTTTTGGTAATCATTGTGAATTACCATTGACAAACCAAAACGATTACAAATAAAGAGGCGTAATTCCACATAGCAGAACTTTATAGGCCTCCAACAAACAAAGAAAAACAAAACCAGAATACTAGTTACACATTAGCTTATGTACTAACCCTCTACATTTCCTCGCTATACGAGATGTTCGAAATGATTCTAGTCTAACCACTATATCCTTTTTAATGTGTAACACTATATCTGATCTATGTACAGTTAACCTAAGTTTTATTATACTAAATAATAACTATACATGATGCAATTTAACGAAAGGTACCGAATGGGATGGGATGGTTGCTGGGAGCGGTGCAGCTGGTTATATACGCCATTTATCGGAACCCTAGTTCATCAAAACCCATCGTCGAAGATTTAGAACAAGGATCGCAGACGGAATCCCTGCTGCCACCTTCTTCCACCTCAACTCTACTGTGAATTGAGATCGATGTTGTCATTATTATTGGAATCATTAATTTCTTCCAATGAAGCAAAACGATCAAGGACGACCTACACTCGTGCTCTTATGCATATGTAATTCGTCTTTTGCTTATTTGTTTTGGTCCTTCAATGTGTTTATTCTTTACAATTTGAAAATATAAGTTTGATATTTCATATTAGTGTGCTGCGAGTTTTACACTACTAGAATTCCCGAAAAAAGCGATCAAACTTTAGCGACCAAAGTTGGTCGCTAAATTGGCGAAAATAATAAAATAATTATTTGATATACATTAGCGACCAAGGTTGGTCGCTAAATTCGTCAAAATATTGATCGGACTGTTCAGACTTGCTTGGTCAAAGGTATACTGAGATTAGCGACCAACGTTGGTCGCTATAGTGGGACTCACTTATAAAATTATAATAATTATAATATTATTTTAAAAAAATTATAAAAGATAAATAAATATAATTTAAAATTAGCGACCAAAGTTGGTCGCTAATTCAGGGATAAGCAGATAGCGACCAACTTTGGTCGCTAAAATGGGACCCAGTTATAAAATTTTAATAATTATATTTTTATTTAAATTTTTTTATAAAATATAAAAAAATATAATTCAAATTTAGCAACCAAAGTTGGTCGCTTACAAAAATAGAGAACAACTTTGGTCGCTAATCTAGGACCCAGTTCTAACGTTTAACAATTATATTATTATTTTAAATATTATATAAAATATAAATAAATCTGATATAAATTTAGCGACCAACTTTGGTTGCTAATTTAAATTTATGTATATTTAGCGACCAAAGTAGGTCTCTTTTCAGGTCAACAGTGGTCAAAGTTAAAAATCACTTTTGTATTTACTATCTAAATAATATAAATGTAACCCGTTAACACTTTTGTAATACAAAGGATGAATAGACTAAAATATACTCTAACATGAAGCGCTCTGAACACAGGGACGAGTTCTTTTAGGTATTGATACACTTGTAAATTGATTTATCGACTTATAACCTATTCATATGGATGTATATATATTAACAATAAATTAAAACGTCTCGACTTATATCAATTAATATATGTATATAT